CCTTAGCCCTTGGCCCTGTCCACAGTCTCAGATCTTGCTTTCCCTTAGCTACCTTAGCCCTTGGCCCTGTCCACAGTCTCAGATCTTGCTTTCCCTTAGCTACCTACCTTAGCCCTTGGCCCTGTCCACAGTCTCAGATCTTGCTTTCCCTTAGCTACCTTAGCCCTTGACCCTGTCCACAGTCTCAGATCTTGCTTTCCCTTAGCTACCTTAGCCCTTGGCCCTGTCCACAGTCTCAGATCTTGCTTTCCCTTAGCTACCTTAGCCCTTGGCCCTGTCCACAGTCTCAGATCTTGCTTTCCCCTTAGCTACTTTAGCCCTTGGCCCTGTCCACAGTCTCAGATCTTGCTTTCCCTTAGCTACCTTAGCCCTTGGCCCTGTCCACAGTCTCAGATCTTGCTTTCCCTTAGCTACCTTAGCCCTTGGCCCTGTCCACAGTCTCAGATCTTGCTTTCCCTTAGCTACCTTAGCCCTTGGCCCTGTCCACAGTCTCAGATCTTGCTTTCCCTTAGCTACCTTAGCCCTTGACCCTGTCCACAGTCTCAGATCTTGCTTTCCCTTAGTCCTTGGCCCTGTTCACAGTCTCAGATCTTGCTTTCCCTTAGCTACCTTAACCCTTGGCCCTGTCCACAGTCTCAGATCTTGCTTTCCCTTAGCTACCTTAGCCCTGTCCACAGTCTCAGATCTTGCTTTCCCTTAGCTACCTTAGCCCTTGGCCCTGTCCACAGTCTCAGATCTTGCTTTCCCTTAGCTACCTTAGCCCTTGGCCCTGTCCACAGTCTCAGATCTTGCTTTCCCTTAGCTACCTTAGCCCTTGGCCCTGTCCACAGTCTCAGATCTTGCTTTCCCTTAGCTACCTTAGCCCTTGACCCTGTCCACAGTCTCAGATCTTGCTTTCCCTTAGCTACCTTAGCCCTTGGCCCTGTCCACAGTCTCAGATCTTGCTTTCCCTTAGCTACCTTAGCCCTTGGCCCTGTCCACAGTCTCAGATCTTGCTTTCCCTTAGCTACCTTAGCCCTTGGCCCTGTCCACAGTCTCAGATCTTGCTTTCCCTTAGCTACCTTAGCCCTTGGCCCTGTCCACAGTCTCAGATCTTGCTTTCCCTTAGCTACCTTAGCCCTTGGCCCTGTCCACAGTCTCAGATCTTGCTTTCCCTTAGCTACCTTAGCCCTTGACCCTGTCCACAGTCTCAGATCTTGCTTTCCCTTAGCTACCTTAGCCCTTGACCCTGTCCACAGTCTCAGATCTTGCTTTCCCTTAGTCCTTGGCCCTGTTCACAGTCTCAGATCTTGCTTTCCCTTAGCTACCTTAGCCCTTGACCCTGTCCACAGTCTCAGATCTTGCTTTCCCTTAGCTACCTTCCTTGGCCCTGTCCACAGTCTCAGATCTTGCTTTCCCTTAGCTACCTTAACCCTTGGCCCTGTCCACAGTCTCAGATCTTGCTTTGCCTTAGCTACCTTAGCCCTTGGCCCTGTCCACAGTCTCAGATCTTGCTTTCCCTTAGCTACCTTAGCCCTTGGCCCTGTCCACAGTCTCAGATCTTGCTTTCCCTTAGCTACCTTAGCCCTTGGCCCTGTCCACAGTCTCAGATCTTGCTTTCCCTTAGCTACCTTAGCCCTTGACCCTGTCCACAGTCTCAGATCTTGCTTTCCCTTAGCTACCTTAGCCCTTGGCCCTGTCCACAGTCTCAGATCTTGCTTTCCCTTAGCTACCTTAGCCCTTGACCCTGTCCACAGTCTCAGATCTTGCTTTCCCTTAGCTACCTTAGCCTTGGGCCTGTCCACAGTCTCAGATCTTGCTTTCCCTTAGCTACCTTACCCCTTGGCCCTGTCCACAGTCTCAGATCTTGCTTTCCCTTAGCTACCTTAGCCCTTGGCCCTGTCCACAGTCTCAGATCTTGCTTTTCCCTTAGCTACCTTAGCCCTTGGCCCTGTCCACAGTCTCAGATCTTGCTTTCCCTTAGCTACCTTAGCCCTTGGCCCTGTCCACAGTCTCAGATCTTGCTTTCCCTTAGCTACCTTAGCCCTTGGCCCTGTCCACAGTCTCAGATCTTGCCTTTCCCTTAGCTACCTTAGCCCTGGCCCTGTCCACAGTCTCAGATCTTGCTTTCCCTTAGCTACCTTAGCCCTTGGCCCTGTCCACAGTCTCAGATCTTGCTTTCCCTTAGCTACCTTAGCCCTTGGCCCTGTCCACAGTCTCAGATCTTGCTTTTTCAGATCTTACCTTTAACCTTGGCCCTGTCCACAGTCTCAGATCTTGCTTTCCCTTAGCTACCTTAAGCCCTTGGCCCTGTCCACAGTCTCAGATCTTGCTTTCCCTTAGCTACCTTAGCCCTGTCCACAGTCTCAGATCTTGCTTTCCCTTAGCTACCTTAACCCTTGGCCCTGTCCACAGTCTCAGATCTTGCTTTCCCTTAGCTACCTTAGCCCTTGGCCCTGTCCACAGTCTCAGATCTTGCTTTCCCTTAGCTACCTTAGCCCTTGACCCTGTCCACAGTCTCAGATCTTGCTTTCCCTTAGCTACCTTAGCCCTTGGCCCTGTCCACAGTCTCAGATCTTGCTTTCCCTTAGCTACCTTAGCCCTGCCCTGTCCACAGTCTCAGATCTTTTTTTCCTTTAGCTACTTAGCCCTTGGCCCTGTCCACAGTCTCAGATCTTGCTTCCCTTAGCTGCCTTAGCCCTTGGCCCTGTCCACAGTCTCAGATCTTGCTTTCCCTTAGCTACCTTAGCCCTTGGCCCTGTCCACAGTCTCAGATCTTGCTTTCCCTTAGCTACCTTAGCCCTTGGCCCTGTCCACAGTCTCAGATCTTGCTTTCCCTTAGCTACCTTAGCCCTTGACCCTGTCCACAGTCTCAGATCTTGCTTTCCCTTAGCTACCTTAGCCCTTGGCCCTGTCCACAGTCTCAGATCTTGCTTTCCCTTAGCTACCTTAGCCCTTGACCCTGTCCACAGTCTCAGATCTTGCTTTGCCTTAGCTACCTTAGTCCTTGGCCCTGTCCACAGTCTCAGATCTTGCTTTCCCTTAGCTACCTTAACCCTTGGCCCTGTCCACAGTCTCAGATCTTGCTTTCCCTTAGCTACCTTAGCCCTTGGCCCTGTCCACAGTCTCAGATCTTGCTTTCCTTAGCTACCTTAGCCCTTGGCCCTGTCCACAGTCTCAGATCTTGCTTTTCCCTTAGCTACCTTAGCCCTGCCCTGTCCACAGTCTCAGATCTTGCTTTCCCTTAGCTACCTTAGCCCTTGGCCCTGTCCACAGTCTCAGATCTTGCTTTCCCTTAGCTACCTTAGCCCTTGGCCCTGTCCACAGTCTCAGATCTTGCTTTCCCTTAGCTACCTTAGCCCTTGGCCCTGTCCACAGTCTCAGATCTTGCTTTCCACAGCTACCTTAGCCCTTGGCCCTGTCAGATCTTGATCTTGCTTTCCCTTAGCTACCTTAGCCCTTGGCCCTGTCCACAGTCTCAGATCTTGCTTTCCCTTAGCTACCTTAGCCCTTGGCCCTGTCCACAGTCTCAGATCTTGCTTTCCCTTAGCTACCTTAGCCCTTGACCCTGTCCACAGTCTCAGATCTTGCTTTCCCTTAGCTACCTTAGCCCTTGACCCTGTCCACAGTCTCAGATCTTGCTTTCCCTTAGTCCTTGGCCCTGTCCACAGTCTCAGATCTTGCTTTCCCTTAGCTACCTTAGCCCTTGACCCTGTCCACAGTCTCAGATCTTGCTTTCCCTTAGCTACCTTGGCCCTGTCCACAGTCTCAGATCTTGCTTTCCCTTAGCTACCTTAACCCTTGACCCTGTCCACAGTCTCAGATCTTGCTTTCCCTTAGCTACCTTAGCCCTTGGCCCTGTCCACAGTCTCAGATCTTGCTTTCCCTTAGCTACCTTAGCCCTTGGCCCTGTCCACAGTCTCAGATCTTGCTTTTTACCTTAGCCCCTTGGCCCTGTCCTTAGCTCAGATCTTGCTTTCCCTTAGCCCTGGCCCTGTCCACAGTCTCAGATCTTGCTTTCCCTTAGCTACCTTAGCCCTTGGCCCTGTCCACAGTCTCAGATCTTGCTTTCCCTTAGCTATCTTAGCCCTTGGCCCTGTCCACAGTCTCAGATCTTGCTTTCCCTTAGCTACCTTAGCCCTTGACCCTGTCCACAGTCTCAGATCTTGCTTTCCCTTAGTCCTTGGCCCTGTCCACAGTCTCAGATCTTGCTTTCCCTTAGCTACCTTAACCCTTGGCCCTGTCCACAGTCTCAGATCTTGCTTTGCCTTAGCTACCTTAGTCCTTGGCCCTGTCCACAGTCTCAGATCTTGCTTTCCCTTAGCTACCTTAACCCTTGGCCCTGTCCACAGTCTCAGATCTTGCTTTGCCTTAGCTACCTTAGTCCTTGGCCCTGTCCAAAGTCTCAGATCTTGCTTTCCCTAAGCTACCTTAGCCCTTGACCCTGTCCACAGTCTCAGATCTTGCTTTCCCTTAGTCCTTGGCCCTGTTCACAGTCTCAGATCTTGCTTTCCCTTAGCTACCTTAACCCTTGGCCCTGTCCACAGTCTCAGATCTTGCTTTGCCTTAGCTACCTAGTCCTTGGCCCTGTCCACAGTCTCAGATCTTGCTTTCCCTTAGCTACCTTAGCCCTTGGCCCTGTCCACAGTCTCAGATCTTGCTTTCCCTTAGCTACCTTAGTCCTTGGCCCTGTCCACAGTCTCAGATCTTGCTTTCCCTTAGTCCTTGGCCCTGTTCACAGTCTCAGATCTTGCTTTCCCTTAGCTACCTTAGCCCTTGGCCCTGTCCACAGTCTCAGATCTTGCTTTCCCTTAGCTACTTTAACCCTTGGCCCTGTTCAGATATATTTTGGCATTGTTGCTCAAAGTTACTTCTCCAATAATTATTGATAATCAATCGATATTTAGTTAACAATTATTGATCTCTACAATCTATATGAACAGCAAGTCCTGCCACCTTCATATGAAAATGTTGATGTTTCTGCATGAGCAAACTGAGACTATGTAGTAGACAAGACTTACCCATATACACATACGTGTACGGCAATATGGAGGAGTACGCCATCTCTGTTTCGGCCGGTCCACAGCACCTACAAAACAAAGTGAACATTACCTTCATGCAAGTATATTCATGCAACATATGTCATATATATACATCACATGTTACATGCTTAGATCAATATGTCAATCATCTTTCTTTCTCCAGAATGAACGAAGCTACAACCTATTATGGAAATCAATGTTCTCCTGTATCAATCCACCTGTTGCTCTCACACCATACCAACCTTGACTCATCCTAACAGCTACTGAGAGTGTTGAGCTCTGATATATGTGGATTAATTTTTATACAAGTGAAGTCTCTTAGTTGTTTCACTCCTACCTTTAACAAGACAGCTCAACAACTTGTTATATGTGTCCAGGCGGCTGGTCTGAGCTAGAGTGACAAGGGGTTTGTAACAAGCGCTTGTTACTTCACCTATGTGGGGGTTACATTCATCCTGCAAATAACTGCCCTGTATGGCAGGAATAATACAACAGGGTTTGACATGTGTTGTCTTCAGGCAACATGGAGGAAAATCATCACAGATAAACAAATACTCACAATCAACACTTTGTGGACAACATGAAGCCATGAGTGTAAGAACTATGACATGCAACGCGAACTACCCAACAATGACACATCACTATTTGCTGAAATGAGTGGAGATGTGTGATAACATATTCTTCAGAATTAGTTGTCACATTGAATGCTTATTTATTAATAACAGTAGGATTTGGGTTATTAGTATGTTTTAAAAGCCATTACATCCTATAATCATGTTTGATAATAATATATATATTACTGCTGGGATGAAATCTTGACACTATCTTTGTCACCTATTTTCATCAACTCAGTCAACATATTATACATCAGCGTGGCTGATAAAGGATTTCATGTTGGTGAGAAGCACACACAGCCAGTCATTGATTATTACTAATAGGACGGTGGTTTTTGGTGTCAAAAATTGAAACACGTCTACAGGAGGTATAGCAAGATGTTTTTGGTACTGTGGGAAAGCTTAGAATTTCTAGTTTTCAAAAACCAATGTTGCCAGGCTTGAAAATGTCTGGCAACATGTCATTTCTGGGCGTTTCCATGTAACCATGTCATTTTCCAGAGAATATGACTGCTATATATAAAGGAATATATCTTCACTATGAATTGTGATTTCATCATTTTATAGAATACATGTGCTGATGCAAGCACTGCTCCAACAAACCGTGTAAAGTAACTGGGTCAAGGTCAAAGGTCAAGACAAGACCTATCTCCTTTATTTTGCTAGCTGGCTGGAGATTGGTGTATAAAGGCATTTGGCTCCAGATGCTTTTGGTTACAATAGCAGTTGTGGGGTGATGCCAATGTGTATTGCTGATACAATGATAGTCACTACATTAATAAAACATTTGAAACTATTCCTTTGCAACTGGTACTGTGGTAGGTAAACATATGATACAGATCACATTCATTCAGACAGTGTTTCTTTTTAGTCAAATAGGCATGAGGGCTTGACTAAGATAATATATATCATATTCTCTTGTTGCCAAATGTTCAGTGTTGCTAATCCCTGACTCATGTTATGAGAAGTGCTGCCTGACATGGAAGCTATACATATGATATAGATCACGTTAATTCAGACAACGCTTCTGTGTATTCATATACTATTATGATGGCCTGACTAAGATAATGTATACTTTATTTTTCTTGTTGCCAGATGTTGGTGTTGCTCCTCCTAGACTCATGCCTCAAGTGTTGTAACATCTAAGTGTTGTAACATGCTTATACCTGCCCTACACCAGTCAAGACCTATCACAATGTCACACATTTCAGGGTGATGCCACTTTACAACACAAAGATAGAAGCCAGGTTACAATACTGACACTTCTCTACACTAATAATGCTGAATAGACATTCAAAATGTCCCTTTAGCAAAAATTGTACAAGCATGCATCCAAGCACATGACAGAATAAATGCGAGCTATCAGAGGACATTCCTAAGTGAAGTTCTTATTATCAACACACTCTGTTGGTCAATATTTGCAATTTGTACAGATGGTAAATGTTATAGCCAGGTAGAAAATCACCCAACCCTTGTAGGTCTTGTCCAGACTGGTTGACTAAAACAAGCTGACTTTCAAACTAGTCGCTAGACAATTGGCCCTGAACTGCCAGTTTGGATTGCAAGGCGGACCCTGTTTACACAGAATACAATTCAGTTCAAACATTCTAATTATTGTGAGAGTTATATAAAATATGTCTGAGCACACAATCTGATCTTCAGTCTTTCACAGAAATTCAAAACAAATTTGTCAGGACATACAAAGTATGATTTACGAGGTAAAACCTAAAGCAAATTCTTTTTCCAGTAATTTCTGAAACCAGCAATTACTTATGGGTGTCAGGCCGGGAAAGCCACATTTAAAAAATGACTATTGCCGGGAAGGCCACATTTCAATTACATGGCTGTAGCCGGTAAAGCCACATTTCCAATAGATTAATTAATGGATTACTGTAACCGGTAAAAGAGTGTCCCCATGTATGATATTGTTTTCACAAGACAGGAATAATCTTTCCTACTCACAAGTGTGCTGTTTAGCAATACCGGTAAAAGACTGTTCCTACACTAAATGCCAAAATAAACGTTACCCTCCTACCTTTATGAAGTACTTTAAAACTATCAAAGATATGTTAGAAGGTATTAGTTTACAAGAGAGCTTAACAACACAGCTTTGTGTAAATTGTGAACCAAATTCTCAAACGCATTCAAATTTAGGTGAAAAGCATCTTTTTCAGAATAGTTAAATTGTCCTATTTTTGACCATGCCGAAATAAACCAATAACTGTGCTTTAGATGTCCAAAAAAGGTTGAAATAAAAGTCTGCATTGAGACAGAGATAAACCATTTAAAGTCACCATTTTTCAATTATTAAAACAAGAAACAACTGTTGTAGAGCGTGTAAAATTGTAAAAAAATCATTCCTATGATTTCAGTCTTTTAAAACATTTTCTGCTGATTTGCATTAGTGAAAACAAGTACAACGTGTCTTTGATATTGTGAAAAAAGTGTTTAGGAACACCCAAAATGATCTTTGTTAACATTTTTGCTTGCGAAGTAACATATTTCCATTTTCTGTTTACACACAGCAATATCAATCGCCAAAATGTAGCAATATTCAAGCAGTATTTGCATCAATACAGAACCATTGATGCTCGTATTGCATCACTGAAGACCAAGCATCTGAACCAACACCTGAGTGACATGGAGTATATGGACCATGTGGTCGATCTCCTTCATCTGCAGTAGAGGGTGTACAAAAAGTATGTTTATAACTTATGTTTTGTGATCTTACGCCATTTTATCTGTTTGTACACATGGCAACAAACTAAACCATTATTGTTATTGTTAAGTCTTACAGATTAAGATATATTATTATTATGTGATAATATTATATGTAAACTATCTATTAGTATATTATATTGTGCTAATTATAGAAATAAAATCTGTTGTGATGTGAATAAAATTATGAGGAAACATGTCTTGTTTTGTTGAATACAGTAACGTGTTTGAATCACTAAGCATGTTTTGACAGCATACCCGGGAGAGCCACATTCCATGTTCACGCAACCATAACTATTGCCGGGAGAGCCACATCAATTTTGGCTATCTGTTTAGGAAATGTGGCTCTCCCGGCCTGTAACCTACTTATGTGCTTATTAAAGAACTTTTTGGAGGTGAAAATGCATTTTATCAGTCGATGTAAATCTGTAGTGAAATATTGAATTTTGTGATTCAAATCATATAAATAATTATAATTTATTAAGAGCAAACTATCCTCCTTATCAGTGTTGTAAACTCCCCAAAATTTCGACCAGACAACTGGTCTGGTAACTCTCAAAAGTTACCAGACCGGCTGGAAAGTTACCAGTCCAGAATTTTCAGGATTAAGATAAAATATAGAGGAGGTAAATAGGAGGAGGGAACTGTTTAATGTCAGGTTATTGTCACAATAACACGTTTTTAAATGTTTTCAGTCATTATATACATTACAAAATTACGCTGATTCAACAGCCAGACCATCGGGCGTGCAACTTTTTAAAACTGACCGTCCAGTCGCAAAACAGACCGTCCCGGACGGTCGGGCAGGCGGGAGTTTGCAACGCTGTCCTTATGTAACATTAAACATAGCTAAAGCCCCACTGCAACACATGTTTCACATGCAACCTACAGATCTTGTCAGTATTGTGGGAGTTTATGGAACTAGTAAGATACTACCACATTCATGAAATCAACCTTTTCAAACTATTGCAAGGTTAAACTTGTGGTTGTTTCAGTTGAAAAGATCATATAACTCGCAACAATTGCAAGTACACAGTCTGATATTTACAGCTGCTGCCACATACCCCATCCATTCTATTACCTCCTGTGATCAGGTGACTGTAATCCCATGTGTTGCAATATAATCTGAACTTGTTTCTGGTGTTGCTTTGATGTGGCGTGGTTATTCACTGGTTTAACAAATTAGTTCTGTAGTAGTGACTATTATATGTCAACTAGTGCTGGTTATTACTCACAATACTCAAATCAATAATCAGAGCTCAGTAATCGATCAATAATCGTAAACCTCAGCACAAAACTTATGTGGTCAATAACGAAACAATCATAGCATTGTGCAAGCTCATTGAGCAAAATAAGTCTTCCATGCTCTCAAACCCAAACAACAGAGCTCTGTAAAGACAAGGTGTCAACCCATGCACTGTACAGAATGAACTGCTGGCTGTTGTCATTTCTCATATTAAAGGGAAATATCGGGACCCAAATAACACCCCAACTTTCTGTGGTCTAGTGGGCACCATTTTAATTACCCTGTGTAATTACTAGATACCAATTAGTTTCAGCAACCAAACAAACTGGACCTCAGACAAAATAGTAACAGGCTTGGGATTAGCAGTGTGGTGGACCGTGAACTTGGTTTTGATAACCTGTTGGGTAGATGAGAATCGATTAGATGTAGGGGTTATGGGAGGTGACCCAGACAAACTAGGGAGGACCTGGTTGACCTGGGGGAATCCTTTGAATCTTCACATTTGATTGGATGGTGTCAGGCCACATTTCAAAAATGAATATTGCCGGGAAGGCCACATTTCAATCACATGGCTGTAGCCGGTAAAGCCACATTTCCAATAGATAAATTAATTAATGGATTACCGTAAGCAGTAAAAGACTGTTCCTACACTAAATTCCAAAAGAAACGTTTCCCTCCTACCATCTTTAGGAATACTTAAATACTATCAAAAATATGTTAGAAGGTATTAGTTACGCTGATAAGACAGACTGGGGTCACTGTAGATAGACCAAGAAGTGGACGTCCACGAATCACAATGCAGCAGAAAGTTTTCATAAGATATGTACACATGGCAACAAACTAAACCATTATCATTATTATTATGTTTTACAGATTAAGATTTTTTTTATTATTATGTGATAATATTATATGTTATATTGTGATAATTATAGAAATAAAATCTGTTGTGATCTGAATAAAATTATGAGGAAACATGTCTTCCTTTGTTAAATACAGTAACGTGTTTGAATCACTAAGCATGTTTTGACAGCATAGCTGGGAGAGCCACATTCCATGTTCACGCAACCATAACTATTGCCGGGAGAGCCACATCAATTTTGGCTGTCTGTTTTGGAAATGTGGCTCTCCCGGTCTGTAACCGATTGGATGGTACGGACTGAGTGAAACATTTCACATTGCAAATGCATAGACATGTGTAAATGCATGTACAATTATGTAGTTTGGATTACAGCAAAGATGTGTACAGAATATTTTCACAACAATGAAGTTCATTTCATATTCTTAAAATGTGGCATTCTCTTCCCACAGAGGTTACTTGTCATATCTTCCTACGTAACCTCTGTTCTAATACGGCCCTTTCATGGTGTGAGCGTTCAAGACTCGTGATTGGAGGCAATCAGATTTAGTTGTGCAATCAGCGACGTTGTTTCAAAAGTGATCATTCGCAAGGCCTCGGTAATTTCCGTATGCTTCGAGAAAACTAAACCTCTTCCCCTGCGCTATGCGCAACCGTTTCTTCTAGACAGAACTCAGTCATGTTATGGGGGATCAGTGGCGTCTCCATCGCCCTCGTTGACAACGGACAAGCTAGCCATTAAACGTCTTGTGTAATATCAACACAAGTCCCGGGCAGATGGGGGGATATTTGTGGCCCCACATTTGCTTGTGTTAGTCAAGTTGAATCTAAGTCGATGTAACACGTGTTCTGATTGGATAGAAAGAAGGGAGATAATTCGTGTTGCGATCTTTTGCTGCTAGGGGATTTTACGAGAACCGGGAAATATGGCCGTATTAGAACAGAGGTTCGTAGGAAGATATGACAAGTAACCTCTGTGGGAAGAGAATGAAAATGTGGATGAATCTTATTTTCAATGAAATTCATTTCTAATGCAATAATTACTTCTACCTTCTGTTCATCCACGTTTTATGGTATACACCTTACACTTGTGTATTTGCTGTCTTTCTCTTCATTAATGGTCACTCCTGTCTTTGAGGGTGTCTGGAGATAATTATTCTAAGATTGGCTCTGATGTGGTGAATGAATTACATGTTATGTCCTATGCATGTGTCAACGAAGCAGGACTGGAATAGTCAGTTGAGCAGCAAAAAACATCAATCAAAGGATTAACTGATAACATTTGATTGATTAATCACTGTTATCTTGCACAGTTGACTTTTCTGCAGTAAGAATATTTATGTAGGTTTACTTAAGCTAATGGTATACACCCATATCTTCTTGTAAGGTACCCATGTAAAACAAAATGCCTTGTTCAACACGTTCAAAGGATTAGTCAATAATAAGTTGATTGATTTTTCAATTTATCAAACTAATCTGTGGACATCAATCCAGATAATTTACAAGTAAAATAAGACAAATATTAAGGGGGTTTATTAATTGCCTGAGTGGAAATTTTAGTCATTTTACACATGTAGATACGTAAGATTGATACATAACATAGATATGATAAGCAATGTTGACATGGAATCATTAGTTTGTGGTACATGTCTAAGCTGTGTAAACAAAAGTTGCAATAGTACCACATGTGACGTCATCTTATAGATGTGACATGAAGATACCTACATTTCCCTACATTCCACGATGAAACTGTATTTCATCTTTGCTGATCAATGTGAGCTCTCACACGTGCTAGCAGTTTGTGAATGAATCAGCAAAGATTACACTGGAAGCCAGTCTAGTTTACAATTATGATTGGCTCTGTGGTATGAAGCCAGTCACTCCAAAGTTCCCTCAGGTGGCCATGCTTGCACCTCTGTCATGACAAGTCTTACACAGTCCATTCATGTAGTTTTTATCTGTTACACATTAGTTGATTCTACACATTTAGATAAAGGTATGTAATATTGAACTTGCATTGAGAATATATCCTCCAGCGAGAAAAACCGTTTCCTTTAGCGTACATCATCTACATCATGTGCTACGGGATAGTCTGAGGGTAATTATCGTCGCAGAATCACTACGTTCACTACAAATATCACGTTAGTCGAATGAATATTTCTTGCTAAGTCACAGCTAACAGACCTATCACACATAATATCGTTGCTAATCAGACCGTAACAGACGAGTTATAATAGGCGTACAGTACACCACACTAATTCATACTGTCGTAGAGCTCCGATGTCTCAGCTCCATGTAACTTTCCACTATGAAACTGCTAACCACGCCCATTATCAAAATACTTACACACCGAATTTCGAAACACGCAGTCGCTGACAAAGCATGATGACAAACGTTTCACCAATAAACACACACATCAGCCGAACATTGGACGTCATTATATACCCCTTTCACTGAGTCTCCAATGATGTTTCCATTTCTTACCTGAGTCACAGATTGTCCTTCCAGTTCCAGTTCAGTCCATGACAGTGACATCTGTCTGCATGCTGTTTTGAACAGGACACCGACAGCGAAGCCAACGCCTTTGAAGTATTTTCTCAACGTACTGGGCTTCCGTCTACGAAGCTATACCTCGCCACGCTTGAATTCAGAAATACCAGTTCACCCCTGTCGCCGCCCTACTTACCTCCCGTTAGGTGGAGTGATCTGCCCTTGTGTATATCCCATGGGGCTCCCTTGGGTTGTGAGGTGAGGTGAGGTTTAACGTCGTGCTTGAGAATATTTCGCTCATATGACGACGTGCATGCATGTGTATGTACTAGCCCAGACTTAGTGCTAGCCCACTGAGATACCATGACGCAGTGAAGCATGAATACCCCACTCATACACATTATACTGACTCCGAGCGGACCAGTCCTTGTTGTACCCAATAACGCCTAGCGCCAGGCAGGGACCAACAAGTACCATATTTTAACGTCTTTAGGTATGACGCGGCCGGGGATCGAACCCGCGACCTTCCGCTCTCCGGGCGCACATACATACATTTATCCTAAATTATACCTTACCTGAGATAATGTCTGAAAATACAATATTTGCTTTGCAAGCATCTTAATTTGTCAAAATATGCTAGAAATTCGGGTGATAGTGATTTTGTGATAATAATGAAATACAGAAAAATAGGATACTAACAAGTCAAGAAATACCACTCTCGTCAAGAATTTTCCGTTACATCAATTTCGGAATGACAAAGTTTCTGTGACATAAGACCAATGCATGGAAATTGATATGTACGCTATTTTTAGCTGATAAAACAGCACATGCTTTATGATGAAAGGGGATCAACTCTAATAGGAACACTTTGAATTATTTTTACACTTCTTTATGGGGTCATTTGTCACAATATACCGATTATTTACCAAAAAGGATTAATTTCGTGACAATTAATGGTTTTACATGATTATCAGTAGCTTTCTAAACATCACAATATTTACTTTTTACTGGTGGAAACCTAATGTACGTAAATGTGAATTCAACTCCCTTGTAATATTGATATTGTACCTTACCCTTCCCTTGCTAATGCTAAAATCACAAAGACTCTGTGACATATCGCAAAGTTTCCGTCGCAAAAATCACAAAGACTCCACTCTCACTGTGACCAAGTTCCCTACCAGTGAGTTCTGTGTACTGTTCCCGTGCTTGTGCGTACAATGCTTGAAGCATACGTAAAATACCAACATTCATATTTGGCCACGCGACGCTTGAAGATTTGCACGCCGGCATAGGTTGGTAGGCAAGTGAACGTTCGTTCTTATCGCAACCCTCTCTGTTCAGCAATGTAGTAGCTGTTTCATGAGGCAGTTCACGATGTACATGTAGTAGATATTTAGATGGAAGAAATAATTACACACAAACATACTTATGCTGTAATCGTACATTTCTCCAATACCGTAAAACCGCGTGAAACATCTGCGTAGCAGTTATAGAACTGAGGTGCCAGTAGTTCGCGCCCAACTCAACAATATTCTAGTTATATCGAGGCTTTCTGTAAATAATCAAGTCTGGACCAGACAATCCAGTGACTGACAGTACGAGCAACATCCTCGCCGACTCCCCCAGCTTAAACACCAGATCGTATACGTCATCCTCAACATCAGGCAGAAACTGATGGGGACTAAAATCTAACCAGGGTCTCACCTATCGTAGTCTGTGTTTGTATGGTTGTAGCACGCAACAAACTGGTTTAATCTTAACAAAGCGATACGTTAAAATCCAAACATATAAACAAACTTTTGTCTCTTGTTTTTGTGTTGTTGTGTCTCAACAGTTGCTATATATCACCATGACGACATTGGGATAAAAAATTCAGAACCTATTTCACAATCGCCTGATGACGCTATATGTCATAAGATTCAAGCTTTAATTTCTTGTAGCTTCCTTTCAAGCTGAGCTCCGTTTCTGTACGCCATAAGGTGGTTATGGACAGGTGTCTATCGTCACACAATTGTGCCAGTCCCGCTCCGCGACAACGTCACATGTGACTTAGCCTCTGACGTCACACCATTGTCTTTCTCATGCTACTACGGCGTCGGGCGTAAGCAGTTCTACGTTAAAATGGCTGATCCAATCACAAGCGCAACGAAATGTCGCATCTTTCTCGCTGGTGTTATAGTGGGTGCATCGTCATCTGCTGTGGTCTACATGTTGTGCAGGAAGACACGAGCGAATCACACCTACACGCAGGTACATGGTCCGGGTTTTCTGTATTTCCCCACACCACCTGGAGCGCTCGACGCCCCGACAGACAGGTACATGGTCCAGGTTTTCTGTAGTTCCCCACACCATCTGGAGCGCTCGACGCCCCGACAGACAGGTACATGGTCCGGGTTTTCTGTAGTTCCCCACACCATCTGGAGCGCTCGACGCCCCGACAGACAGGTACATGGTCCGGGTTTTCTGTAGTTCCCCACATCATCTGGAGCGCTCGACGCCCCGACAGACAGGTACATGGTCCAGGTTTTCTGTAGTTCCCCACACAATCTGGAGCGCTCGACGCCACGACAGGCAGGTACATGGTCCGAGTTTTCTGTAGTTCCCCACACAATCTGGAGCGCTCGACGCCCAGACAGACAGGTACATGGTCCGGGTTTTCTGTAGTTCCCCACACAATCTGGAGCGCTCGACGCCCCGACAGACAGGTACATGGTCCGGGTTTTCTGTAGTTCCCCACATCATCTGGAGCGCTCGACGCCCCGACAGACAGGTACATGGTCCAGGTTTTCTGTAGTCCCCCACATCATCTGGAGCGCTCGACGCCCCGACAGACAGGTACATGGTCCAGGTTTTCTGTAGTCCCCACACCATGTGAGGCGCTCAACGCCCCGACAGACAGGTACATGGTCCAGGTTTTCTGTAGTCCCCACACCATCTGGAGCGCTCGACGCCCCGACAGACAGGTACATGGTCCGGGTTTTCTGTAGTCCCCACACCATCTGGAGCGCTGGACGCCCCGACAGACAGGTACATGGTCCGGGTTTTCTGTAGTCCCCACACCATGTGAGGCGCTCGACGCCCCGACAGACATGTAGGTACATTCTCCGTGTTATCTGTAGTTCCCCACATCATCTGGAGCGCTTGACGCCCCGACAAACAGGTACATGGTCCGGGTTTTCTGTAGTCCCCACACCATGTGAGGCGCTCAACGCCCCGACATACATGTAGGTACATTCTCCGTGTTATCTGTAGTTCCCCACATCACCTGGAGCGCTCGACGCCCCGACAGACAGGTACAAGGGGTGGGAGGTGGGGGTGGGGGTGTCAGCAATTTTGTACATAAATATATTAAAAGATTATGTTTGTAATTTATGGGGGTGTCCATTGATTTTGTACATGACATGCAGGGGAGGGGTCCATACTTCTCTGTTAACATCATCATCACCTACCCGCTGGGATCAGTGGGGTTTCTACCGGTCAGAGGGACAGTCAGCCCTCAATGTTTTCAGGTCTCAGTAACATCTTGCCCTTAACACCCCCTCCAAAACAACATTTAATAATGAAACACATGGACAACATATATTTGTGAGTCAAAGTGTGTTACTATCCTCATGAGAGGTGTTTAACATATTTAAGTCATAGAGAAACTTGTGGGCAAATGTGAGGCCAACCCTATGTCAGAGGGTGTTCACGACAAGTCGTTCAGTTCTTGTGTAAGATAACATATATTATAAGTTGTAGCATTGTGACGAGGGGTATCCCGTGTTAGGTTTTATCCACCGAGCGGGGAACATGGTGCTGACTAGTCGATCCGAACCACTGGTTCAATGACTGCCGTGAGTGCATGCTTTTTCCATGGGGTGGGGTATAAATGATTTATTCTCCCTCGCAAAGATTTTATTCCGCTTTGGCGGTGTGCGGCCGTGCACCGGGGGTGTCCTCCCATTACTCATACGTCCCACTAGTCATACGGGTTAAAACAACGTATGGTATGGTTGACTGCACCAACAACTACCTTTGTAATACCTTTGTAAAAAGAAAGTGGAATGGTCCAAGAAACAAAAATACAGCTTCACATCAGTGAACTTTAATAATCTGTCTTCAGCATGATATACTAATGGGCGTCTGACAAATGGGACAGGACCGCACCGGGCATAGATAGTAATTTGTTCTAGGTGATGTGAACCAATCAGAGATATGGACATTCTTACATGAGATAGTATAAGCTCATTTAGTGAATTTTTTGCAACCCGCCAACTGTAATCGAATTGTTATTTCGAGGTAAATTTCTTAGTGAGTGAGTGAGTTAAGATTTAAAGTCACATCGGCAATATTTCAGCCATATCGTGACTAAAACTAGTTCTAAATTTATAATACATACATATAATATATAAAACCCTGTCAACGAAGGACAGTAAAACCACTAGATTATCACAGATTGAGTTTAAACTAGCTAGCATATATCTTTAAAAGTAGAAAATTATTTCCGGACAATACAATGTAAAATTGGGCTATAGATCGCCAACAACTGAGTAAATTCCTTAGCTTGTAATGTATGATGATAAACAGTTCGAACTCCTAAAACAATGTCTTTCCATGGTAAGGTTTACAAATAAATGTTTCTGCATTTGCACAGTTCCGTGATTGTAAAATGTTTTGCTTTGCCTAAAATAGTGTTGAATGTATTTGTTGTGTCCTAGTAGTTAAAGTGACTTTGTTAGATCCGTCTCTAAATCACTGACCAGTGAGTATGCAGGTTACTCTGTTTACTACAGGGTGGCAGCCTACACATCTATTTATTCCCGGTAAATATGAAGCAATCTCGTTGCTAGGGGTGGGTATTGCAGAGAATTGTCATATTGCGATATGTATTGCACTATATTGCAAGGTGTTTTTTTAACCAAAAAACAAACAAACAAAAAACCTACTTATGTTCGAGTTAATGCTTGATTTATAAAACAAAAAAAACCAGAAGAAAATCACTATGCTTGATTAAGCTTAATTAAAAACTTTGAATCGTCCCGCTTGAGCATTTCACTTTACCATTGCAATACATACAACTTTACTCTTTTTCTTCTATCCATAGAACTTAGTTTTCCTTCACTTTACTCTTATCAATAGTTCCATCTAACGTGAAGTTTTTCACCCCAAAACGCTGCCATACTGAAGCCTTTGTATTTGGAACCACAATAAATTGTTCGCTGTTGGGGGTAGCCTATTTACAACAAACGCATGACTTCCGGTGTGAAAAAAGTACGAAGTTTTCCGAATGCATGTCAAAATACCGGTTATCGCAATACGTATCGTTTTCATGTCTGAACCGGTAAATACCGGTAAACCGTTATATTGCGCAGCCCTACTCGTTGCAAGTGTCGGTGCCAATATTTATGTGTTGTACTTCCCAAAGCTGATTATGACGTTTGTACACTAACCTGTTCCGCCATAGCTTGATGTGTCATATCATGTGGCATTTTCAGTTTTCGGAAAATGGAGTTTGACCCATGCAGTCTGTTTGCTGAGTCATGCGATAATCACGAAACCCCCCGATGTTGCATAATGTGTTGAAAGTGGTCTCTAAAATTAATGAAATGACGTTTTGGTGAAAGAATATGAGTGAATATTTGTATGCTGTTGAGAAATAGTCGGGACTGGACCTCACAATCCAGTGATTATGAGTAAGGATCCGATATACGATGACACGTGATCATGGACGTCATCCAGCCGTCCACCCAATCCCGTAAGTTGCTTGTTCAACAAAGATAGGCTCCTGTTTGGACCTTGGTTGACCCGGACCCCATACCGTTATTTTCTGTACACCGAGAACCAAACTTACCACAACCTTGTGAAGAAAAGGTATTCATGAAACACAATGCTGTTGTACTATGGAGACACGTTTCCTGGAACAGTATTAATCATAGCAATACTTTGTCTGCTCCCGAGAAGTGTTACATGTGCTCATTTCGAGGCAATATTAACAAAATCTCAAGTAAACTGCAGTTGTATGTCTGGTTGTGTCTCACTGTCATCCCTCTACCCATTCAAACGAAGCATAACCATGTAGATATATATTACATACGTATGACCCATATACCACCTCCAGCAGTACCGTAAATACACTACTGATAAAATTCAACTTTTTTCCATCAACTTTAGTTAAGCAGTAGTCACCTCCTTCAAGCTGGGCTTTCTAGTGTTAACTAGTGTAGAAATACACATGCTGGCTGCAGGCCGAGGTTTAAATATGTTGCCATATGAAACACAATTAGGTTTTCCTGTTCAGATAAGTTTTTTATAAAGTGAGTTCGTGTAGAATTACTGTTTAACTGAATTCCGTGAAACCTCGAGATTACGAATCGATAGACCACGTGTCAGCCGTGGTTATGCTGTTATTTGAGAATCACTCCACTGGGTATGAATTCCTAAGGCTGGAGACGGTATCCTCGCTGATATGGGTGTTGAGACTGCCGAGGAACATGATGTACATGGGTGCTGGCATCGACAATCCACGATGACAGTTTAAGGAAAAAAGATGAAATATATACAACTTCAATGGATGTTTACTTTTTTACTGAATCTATATGGTTGTACTATAAAATAACGCACTGACGTTCAATGCAAATTCATATATGTGGAAAGTATACGGATCTATAGTCATTTCTTCCTTGCTGTCCTATTCATTTTCATTTAGTTCTGTCTATGTTACTTTACATGATCCCTCTTGTAGCAACTAGGAAGCATATGATTTCACTAAAACCCAATTTCTTCTCTTACAGACAACCAACACCTTATGTGAATCTGACGATGAAGCATCTTCTCCAGCAACCAAATTTGCAGATGAAATACCCGAGGAAGACGCTTCTTGCTCTAACGCCACTAGATCAGCGCTGACTCAAGTTCAGGCTATGTTGGAAGGGAAAGGAGTAACATTAATTTTGTCGTCTGCTCTGAGGAAAGTCATCTTTCTGGCACAAGGAGCGAAAACAGCAGGTCTGAATATTGTCCGCAGCGAGGGCTTTGATGAGGCAGATGATAACGCGACGCATGTCTTTGGGAAATCGTCTTCTTTTATCTATGGTAAGAGTACATTTCGGTCCGAACGGGATGTGGTCACCGGCAAAACATTCATTCTTCAGAAGTTCCCATCCGAGATAGCTGTAACACACCCGCGACCTGGAACTGTCGCCGCTCAGAGCAGTGGTTCCGAGACACGAGTCCCACCGTTATCAGAGATCTTCCCCTTCAGTGTCCTCAGCAAGATGGGGATACGCCAGGACCCGTACTTCGGGGAGGAGGAAGAAGAATTGCAGACCTGTTCGTCAGCAACAGTCTCGAAAACGTCAAGCGGGAAATGTGTTCGCGTAATCCGATCTAGACACCACCAGACGCCGACTAGCAGTGCCAGGTGTGTTCAGAAGGTGGAGCAGACGGGCCACCCGGACATCTGTAAGGTATGGCGACTCGGGGCTGAGTTCCATGACCTGTACCACAGCAGATACGACACATATCACGGCATTGTCCATCCGAACACACCTGTTGTACTGTACCCTGGAGTCAGGAAGTAAATACATGCGTCTAAACATCCTTCATTGTTTTCTTTGACTTGTTAGGACAGTAGTGTGTGGCCGACAGAAAACACGCACATGTATTTTTCAAGACCAACGTTTATGATGCACTTTCAGGTATTCATCTTGAGGTAGGAACATGTCATAGATTTTGTGCACAAAAAACCTTGAATCTTATTAATGTGAGTGGGTTTAGTTTTATGCCATTTTAGCAATATTCCAGCAATCTCACGGCGATGGACGCCAGAAATGGGCAATGGGTTCACATATTGTGCCCACGTGGGGAATCGAACCCGGGTCTTCAGCGTGCAGAGCGCATTAACCATAGGTTACCCCACAGCCTATGAATCTTATTAAATCGACTAGGCGTGAAATAGATCTTACTAAAAATGTGCGCGAGAAATCAATCATAAGTGCAATATATTTGTGTATGTTAAATGGAAGCATATAGACTTTGCCTAAACACATCTCTCTGAGAGAGGGATCATAATCACATGTAAGAAACATAAAGGTTGAATGTCACACATGCAGAGGCACTTTGAACATTAGCAAAACAAGACTATTTGAACTCACGACGATGTAATATTTCCTCGAGTTAGTGAGGAAGTCCAAAGCATCCTTTTGCGTTGGGCAGCAGAGAAGGGCAACTACTACATTGCCATCGTCCTAGAGGTCTGGTTATAGAAACAGTTACCGATTTCATAGGATACGGGTTGAATGTTGTATGACAAGTTAGATATACACTTTTACTTTGGTATGCCGGTAATATTTCATTTGTACTATCAATCAATGTACTCGACCTAACAATGCACACTGGGTAAAGAATCAGTGGAATTCATGGTCCCCGATCGTGTTCCATCCACACGGAGCTGCCTGGTGTACTGGGAGTAGGCGTCCAGGACATACCTTCAGTTCTTCACAAACACAGCCATCATGCATGCCACACTGTGCATTGTTATAAATGGGATAGTCTGCATAATGAATGGGCGCAGCTGATAATTGATCGTGCAAACAGGGTATGTGTAATAGTGTAACAGGGCTCCTGTATTCTGTATTTGGATGTCGGGGACTAGATAGTGTATTGAACAGATCCAATCATTGTAGAATAAATGAGTCAACGGTATTCTGAACTTTGATGGCGGGGACTAGATACTGTATTGAACACATCCAATCAGTGTAGAATGAATGAGTCAATAGAATTCTGAACTTTGAATGTCGGGGAATAGATAGTGTATTGAACAGATCCAATCAGTGTAGAATGAATGAGTCAATAGTATTCTGAACTTTGATGGCGGGTACTAGATAGTGTATTGAACAGATCCAATCAGTGTAGAATGAATGAGTCAACAGTATTCTGAACTTTGATGTCAGGGACTAGATAGTGTATTGAACAGATCCAATCGGTGTAGAATGAATGAGTCAATAGTATTCTGAACTTTGATGGCGGGTACTAGATAGTGTATTGAACAGATCCAATCAGTGTAGAATGAATGAGTCAATAGAATTATGAACTTTGATGTCGGGGACTAGATAGTGTATTGAACAGATCCAATCAGTGTAAAATGAATGAGTCAATAGTATTCTGAACTTTGATGTCAGGGACTAGATAGTGTATGGAACGGAACCAATCAGTGTAGAATGAATGAGTCAACAGTATTCTGAACTTTGATGTCAGGGACTAGATAGTGTATTGAACAGATCCTATCAGTGTAGAATGAATGAGTCAATAGAGTTCTGAACTTTGATGGCGGGTTCTAGATAGTGTATTGAACAGATCCAATCAGTGTAGAATGAATGAGTCAATAGTATTCTGAACTTTGATGGAGGGAATAGATAGTGTATTGAACAGACCCAATCAGTGTAGAATGAATGAGTCAATAGAATTCAGAACTTTAATGGCGGGGACTAGATAGTGTATTGAATTGACCCAATCAGTGTAGAATGAATGAGATAACAGTATTCTGAACTTTGATGTCAGGGACTAGATAGTGTATTGAACAGATCCAATCAGTGTAGAATGAATGAGTCAATAGAATTCTGAACTTTAATGGCGGGGACTAGATAGTGTATTGAACAGATCCAATCAGTGTAGAATGAATGAGTCAACAGTATTCTGAACTTTGATGTCAGGGACTAGATAGTGTATTGAACAGATCCAATCAGTGTAGAATGAATGAGTCAATAGAATTATGAACTTTGATGTCGTGGACTAGATAGTGTATTGAACAGATCCAATCAGTGTAGAATGAATGAGTCAACAGTATTCTGAACTTTGATGGCGGGGACTAGATACTGTATTGAACACATCCAATCAGTGTAGAATGAATGAGTCAATAGAATTATGAACTTTGAAGTCGGGGAATAGATAGTGTATTGAACAGATCCAATCAGTGTAGAATGAATGAGTCAATAGAATTATGAACTTTGATGGTGGGTACTAGATAGTGTATTGAACAGATCCAATCAGTGTAGAATGAATGAGTCAATAGTATTCTGAACTTTGATGGCGGGTACTAGATAGTGTATTGAACAGATCCAATCAGTGTAGAATGAATGAGTCAATAGTATTCTGAACTTTGATGGCGGGTACTAGATAGTGTATTGAACAGATCCAATCAGTGTAGAATGAATGAGTCAACAGTATTCTGAACTTTGATGGCGGGGACTAGATAGTGTATTGAACAGATCCAATCAGTGTAGAATGAATGAGTCAATAGAATTCTGAACTTTGATGTCGGGGACTAGATAGTGTATTGAACAGATCCAATCAGTGTAGAATGAATGAGTCAATAGTATTCTGAACTTTGATGGCGGGGAATAGATAGTGTATTGAACAGACCCAATCAGTGTAGAATGAATGAGTCAATAGAATTCTGAACTTTAATGGAGGGGACTAGATAGTGTATTGAACAGATCCAATCAGAGTAGAATGAATGAGTCAACAGTATTCTGAACTTTGATGTCGGGTACTAGATAGTGTATTGAACAGATACAATCAGTGTAGAATGAATGAGTCAATAGAATTCAGAACTTTAATGGCAGGGACTAGATAGTGTATTGAATTGACCCAATCAGTGTAGAATGAATGAGATAACAGTATTCTGAACTTTGATGTCAGGGACTAGATAGTGTATTGAACAGATCCAATCAGTGTAGAATGAATGAGTCAATAGAATTCTGAACTTTAATGGCGGGGACTAGATAGTGTATTGAACAGATCCAATCAGTGTAGAATGAATGAGTCAACAGTATTCTGAACTTTGATGTCGTGGACTAGATAGTGTATTGAACAGATCCAATCAGTGTAGAATGAATGAGTCAATAGAATTATGAACTTTGATGTCGTGGACTAGATAGTGTATTGAACAGATCCAATCAGTGTAGAATGAATGAGTCAACAGTATTCTGAACTTTGATGGCGGGGACTAGATACTGTATTGAACACATCCAATCAGTGTAGAATGAATGAGTCAATAGAATTATGAACTTTGAAGTCGGGGAATAGATAGTGTATTGAACAGATCCAATCAGTGTAGAATGAATGAGTCAATAGAATTATGAACTTTGATGGTGGGTACTAGATAGTGTATTGAACAGATCCAATCAGTGTAGAATGAATGAGTCAATAGTATTCTGAACTTTGATGGCGGGTACTAGATAGTGTATTGAACAGATCCAATCAGTGTAGAATGAATGAGTCAATAGTATTCTGAACTTTGATGGCGGGTACTAGATAGTGTATTGAACAGATCCAATCAGTGTAGAATGAATGAGTCAACAGTATTCTGAACTTTGATGTCAGGGACTAGATAGTGTATTGAACAGATCCTATCAGTGTAGAATGAATGAGTCAATAGAGGTCTGAACTTTGATGGCGGGTTCTAGATAGTGTATTGAACAGATCCAATCAGTGTAGAATGAATGAGTCAATAGTATTCTGAACTTTGATGGCGGGGAATAGATAGTGTATTGAACAGACCCAATCAGTGTAGAATGAATGAGTCAATAGAATTCTGAACTTTAATGGAGGGGACTAGATAGTGTATTGAACAGATCCAATCAGAGTAGAATGAATGAGTCAACAGTATTCTGAACTTTGATGTCGGGTACTAGATAGTGTATTGAACAGATACAATCAGTGTAGAATGAATGAGTCAATAGAATTCAGAACTTTAATGGCGGGGACTAGATAGTGTATTGAATTGACCCAATCAGTGTAGAATGAATGAGATAACAGTATTCTGAACTTTGATGTCAGGGACTAGATAGTGTATTGAACAGATCCAATCAGTGTAGAATGAATGAGTCAATAGAATTCTGAACTTTAATGGCGGGGACTAGATAGTGTATTGAACAGATCCAATCATTGTAGAATGAATGAGTCAACAGTATTCTGAACTTTGATGTCGTGGACTAGATAGTGTATTGAACAGATCCAATCAGTGTAGAATGAATGAGTCAATAGAATTATGAACTTTGAAGTCGTAGAATTAGGGAATAGATAATGTATTGAACAGATCCAATCAGTGTAGAATGAATGAGTCAATAGAATTATGAACTTTGATGGTGGGTACTAGATAGTGTATTGAACAGATCCAATCAGTGTAGAATGAATGAGTCAATAGTATTCTGAACTTTGATGGCGGGTACTAGATAGTGTATTGAACAGATCCAATAAGTGTAGAATGAATGAGTCAATAGTATTCTGAACTTTGATGGCGGGTACTAGATAGTGTATTGAACAGATCCAATCAGTGTAGAATGAATGAGTCAACAGTATTCTGAACTTTGATGTCAGGGACTAGATAGTGTATTGAACAGATCCAATCAGTGTAGAATGAATGAGTCAATAGAATTCTGAACTTTGATGGCGGGGACTAGATAGTGTATTGAACAGATCCAATCAGTGTAGAATGAATGAGTCAATAGTATTCTGAACTTTGATGGCGGGGAATAGATAGTGTATTGAACAGACCCAATCAGTGTAGAATGAATGAGTCAAT